CCCATTTTTCTCTTCCGATCAGGCTGATACACCAAACTCATCCTTTTGTTCACTTTCTCCTCCTGTTTCCCTTCTATGATAGACCTTTGTTATTATGGGTGTATCAAAAAGCCAAAAAAATTGTATAGTTTGAGGCGTTGAAATTTAACTACTCATCTTGAAAGCAAAAGATTAGTCTGTTTTGGGTTTGTATAAAGTAGTCAGGACATAAAAAGATGAAATAGGTGGAATTTTTACCTAGAAAGATCTTTTCTAGAAAATATGTAAGCTGCATTCACAGATTCAGATGCAGTATTAATTTTGTAAGAGCCTGAAATAGGTAAAGTGAGACATAAACTTATCAATAAGAAACGGAACATATAGTAAATGTTATGCAGGAATCCAGGCTTTGACAGAAAGAAATCAATAGATATGATTCAACTCATATGTTGCAATAAAATTACAAGCATGTCAGCCAAAACAACTAGAAAATTTAAGAACTGGCCAGACATTAGAATGCAACAAACAATGCATAAATCAACAATTCAATCAGCTTTGACCAGAGTATTAAAGCACTGGTCTGATTCTAAAAGAATCTCTGCATACAGTTACAAAAGCTCATCTGTGGAACTAGCCCAAAAGCCAAAAAGTAAGATTAATTGAATGAAGATCAACTACTACTCAAAGGTAATACCTGCAGGCACAAGTAGAAATGAACCATCAGGAGACCATGCTAATCTTCTGAAGAAAGATGGCAACGTCTCATCATGGAAGAGATGAAATTTTGTCTCCTGTATAAAGAAAAATGTAGCCTTATGTTCAAGTATGCAACAATCCATCGATGATGCAACTAAGACAAGACAAAAATGGGACCTCTATATAACCTTAGAATTCTTTAATAATGGCTGATCTGCCTTGGAAATGACTTGCCGGCAAACATAATTGATTTTCTCAACGCCCTTTGATTTAAGAGGCTTGTTGATGTAAATTCGGCAAGTCCTGTCAGAACTAAGAGAAGTGACATACTTTCCCAGAGGGTCCCATGCAACCCCCTGAACATAGTGTGCATGGGCATCCAATGTCTGAAGGTTAGTTCCTGAGACACAAGGAACAAGTACTATAAGAACATAAACCACGCAAAATCAATTGCCTTACAAATACAGCATATCAACTGCCATGTACCACAATTCAAGTGTATTGAGTACAGTTATCCGTTGCCTTTCTTACCTTTGTTAACATCCCATATAATGCAACAATTATCAACTGATCCAGATATGATATACGCAGCATCGGTAGACCACTGCAGGTCTAGAATGTCCTTGTGATGTGATCTAATGCACAAAAACATCCTTTAGCCAGAAACCAATGCAGTATACACGATTGATAAAGTGAATATATATATATATATATATATAATAAAAAATAAAAAGTGTGGTTGGTCCTTTTCAATGATTGCAGACATAGTTTGTAATTCTAAGTTATTAACATTCATTCTTTCCTTACATATAGTTTTCCAGAAATAAATCCAATGAAATCATTATTTTGAATTAAAACAGTTAAGCACAAATTTGGCATCCCTTTCAGAATCACCAATGAAAAATGCAGAACTTGTGAAATATAAAATTTTACAAACAGGATGGATATCAACTATCAAGCAGCTAAAATGTAGCAAAATCTGCTTAACAGACAATTTTTTATATATAATTATTTTACAATGCTTAACTTTTGAATTTTAGTGCACATAAGTGGTTATTGACAAACCAAAGCAAGGCCTTACCTTAAAGTCTTGAGAGCCTTCCATGTCTGACCAGCATCAGTAGAATGTAGCTTCCATATTATAAGGTCCCCTCCTGAAAAAAAAAATATATAAAATCCGATTTATACAGAAACAATGCCTAATTATATTAACTCAAGCTAAACATCGTTAAGCACACGAAGATCTTACCATCAGCACCAGAGGCTAGCAATTCCCCTGCAAAAAAAAGAAAGAAAAAAAAAGTGTTACTACGCAGCACAATAATTAAAATGGCAGAAATAGAAGCAAAAGGAACTAATGAGATGACACGCGTGTTGATCAACTAATTGATCCAATGAAATTGTGACGTAAGCAGTGAATTGGGCTTACCGGAAGAAGAGAAGCGAATAACATTGACCGCAGAAGAATGGTAAGAGAGGTTACTAAGATAGGAAACTACGGGAAGCTTCTTCTGTGCTCCCGCGGGTTTTATTGACCAAAACTGCAAACACGAGAAGGAGAAGGAAATGAAGCGAATAATTAACCCTAACCAAATGCAGAGAGAGAGAGAGAGAGAGAGAGAGAGAGAGAGAGAGAGAGAAAGACCTTGATGTCAAAATCGGCGCCGGCGGTGGCGAGAGTGGAGGAGAGAGGGTGAAAATCGAGGGTTAGGACGGGTTTGCTCTCGTGCCAGCTAATCTGAACCGTACCACCCTTCATTCTTTTGCGATTCGGAGATTTAGGTTTGGTTTGGAGTGTAGAAGAACAAGACACACAGATGCAGGGAAATGGATGTTCGCGCCCCACTTTTCACTTGGCGGGAAATGCAGCAATATATTATATGGGCCTATACTATTATATCACTCTTCTTCTACTCCATCTTCACTTTTTTTTTTTTTTTGAGAGGGTTCCATCTTCACTTTACTCTATGAACCTCCTTTTTTTTCTTGCCTGATTAGAACTCGACTATCACTAAAATTAGCAAACGATGCGTTCCAAATATATAGGGATGTTTGTAAATTATGTTAAAAAAACCTGATTTCATGACCGTAATTTTTAAATTGTTTTTAAAAGTAATATATTTTTTATTTTATGCTATTCGTTTTTTTTATTGTTTCACTTTCTTCCTCCAATTCTATTATCTAAATGTTAGTTTTTAAAAACTATTTTATAAAATATATTCTCATATCTATATTTATATATATAAATTAGAATAACTATTATTCTAGTATAAGAACATTTTTTTATTGATTTTTGTTTAATAATAATATTTTTAGACATTTTCTTAATCTCTTATCTCTTATGATTTTGTATTTTTAAATTAACTTTTGATATTTTAAAAGAGATTATCAATAATTAAAAATAATGTTATATTACAATGTAAATTACAAATTATAATTTATATTTATTTTCAATTTTCACAAATCTTCCTTTCAATATTTAACCATAAATAATAAGATGTATTTTATATCCCTCTTTATATATATTAATTTATTATTAATAATCATAATTCTCACCATCATTTTTATTATCGCTTATGCCACAAGCCTTGCTATAATCACTACTTCAATTATGGTTGATGTTACCATCATTCTCATATATACAGCACAAAGAGTATTTCGTCGAGTTTTTTTTATAAAAAAATAAAATAAAAATAAAAAAGGTCTACTATTTACTTTGTCCTTATAATTATTTTTAAAAAAATTTAGTTCATACAAATGAGAACTATAAATTTCAATTCCTGAACAGTTTCTTTTAGCCATTTCATCACTAGATGAAAAAAAATTGTCATTTTACATTGCCAGAAAATGTTATTCGATATTAACAATGAGATTAAAACTTAACTTTTATACATATTTAACTGTAAGGAATTAACAAAATTTAAATAAAGACAACTCAAAGACCAAAAGAATAGTTTAGTAAAAAAGACAGAAAAAAAAAACCTTAGAAAGAGTTTATCTCACCCAAACGACTCATGATGTGTTTCGAAGCCTGGTTCTTTGCACATTAATCGGTTTCTCGACCAGTTGGCCGATCCAAGATCATTACTTACTCTTGCATAATCTGATAATCATCACTTAACTCTTTACAACACTAGTTGTAGCTTCAGTCAAATTCATTGTTATTTAATACACAGTTATTGCAAATTAAACATTCAGACACAGGTACAAGGCAAAACTGAGAGTCTTTACAGAAACACAAAAGTATATATTATATCATATAAAACTTCTATAGATCTCAAAAAAATGACGCCATATAATAAATGGTTTACATTTGGCATATGTTCAAACACAAACAACCTACCATTTCCAAGTAAGATTCTCAACAATCCCCAAAGCAACATCACACAAACGCTTCAAACCATCCTCTCTAGGAGCAATCTCAGGAGGATAAACCAAACCAGGGTAGCCTTTAAACAAGTTGTGACAAACATTGGGGTAATCAGAGGCTGCAGTGATGTGCATGGAAGCATAGTCATAAGCCTCACTAGCCAAATCCTGTGCAGAAGATTGGAGGGCATCGCTGGCACATGCGTATTTGTATGCACACTCCTTCAGCCCCCTCTTCAAGGTGGAGTCGTTGGCAGTGCCAAGCAAGTGAGAGGACAAGTAGGAAGAAGTGGAAGTGGCATTGGTTATTCCAATTCCAACCATGATCACTGCCAACCCCTTTGGGTCTGCGTTTGCACTGCTTGGATCGGATTTCAGGGAGGAAAAGCACAGATCGTAGTACTTGCTGCTCTTGCATGTTTTCTTTATCAGAGTGGCGTCTCCTTTCACAAATGCCTCTGCTTGAAGGTGTGCTAGCAAGAGGAGAAATAGATACAAGATGTTAGAAGCCATTAAGCTAGGAAAGAAGAATCAACACCGAATCAGCATCGAGCACCTAAGGTATTTATAATGGCAAAAGACATAAATACAAATCCAATCAAATCTAGTAATATGATTTAATAACAGTGGTTAAGGGCCCTATATTTATACTTGTTATAGAGACAATTTTATGTAACGAAAACTTGTATTTAGCTTTTACTGTATGTGAAAATTCGTCGAATTAGTAACGATCATAATATTACAAACAAGATTATTCTCGAATAATTACGACGAAAGATACATGTGGTTGGAAAGAACTCAATGTACTTCTCTATTTTCCATCACACTGTTAAAGTATTGTAATGAAAATGGACACAATAAAGCCAAGCAGCAGAGTTATGAGGCAGAGTTATGTAATTATTTTTAATCTTTGGTTTTGTGCTTTTACATCCGATTTGTCTTGCGTTTCAAGAATTATCAATTTACCTGAGTTTCCGGCTTGAAATGGGACGACAAATTCTCGCAATATTCTATGTAGTACTCATGACATGCAACACTCATAACATTAGCATTGATGGTTGGTCCATGTTTTTGTCATAAAATAGGAATATCCTGTAGCAGTACCAGTACTAGTACATTTTTGTTGATTAATTATAAGCAACGATGTTTTGGGCGAGGCTAGCATAAATTGTAAAAAGTGAGTTGTTTTCTTGCTGCATTTACCATTTGTGAGGGCCTTTTTTGGAAGGCTCCAAGCTACTCACGGGGGTATTGTAGCAAACATCTTGAGCTCAAGTCACGGGTCACAACCAACAAGAATCTAGAGTCTCATAATCCCATCTATCCTGTTTTGAACACTACATTCGCCACACCACATGAAGAATAAGCTTCAACCATCAATTATATTGGGTCCTTCTAGATTTTGCCCACGTAAAAAGGCTGCAAAACTTTCAACTTTGTCTACCTTTTTGACGGAAGATTTTCACTTGCTTCAAGTTCAATCTCCAATTCTTATCATTTACAGTTAGCATAAAACGATTTTGTTCACTTTAAATTAACACTAAATCTGTAATGTATCCTGCACAATTAATGTCAAGTGCCTAAATAATAAATATATCTATCTTTTAGCTAAATATAATATATTTATTATTTCAAAACGTTTTTAATTAAATAATTCATCTATGTTAATCCATAAGCAAATAGTTCAATACCTTAAGATAATTATACACATGCCACATGGTTCGGTCTGCCTTAATTTTCGGATGGATAAGCGTAAGAGAGAGAGAGAGAGATCGAAATAAAAAAAAATAGAAGATGTGATGTGTGAAAGAAGAAAATGATACATGAAAAATGAGATGAAAATCAAAATACGAATATATATATATATATATATATATATATATATATATATGATGTAAATTAATTGTGTGTATGTAATTAATCCTAAAAATTTTATTATACAATAGGACATTTTTTACTGATGTATTTTATATTGTACCCTTAAAAAATCATTATGCATATGATACATATCAAACAATATTTTATGTATTATCATGTTACAATAGCATCTCATATAACTCATCAATTGTTCTCGCGTTGTAAAAGTCATCAACTATTTTTCGTCATATACTTCATAAATCCAAATACATTAACTGGATGTTCAAATTTAGTAGCATAAAAATTAACGAAAATATATATATATATATATATATATATATATATATATGATGTAAATTAATTGTGTGTATGTAATTAATCCTAAAAATTTTATTATACAATAGGACATTTTTTACTGATGTATTTTATATTGTACCCTTAAAAAATCATTATGCATATGATACATATCAAACAATATTTTATGTATTATCATGTTACAATAGCATCTCATATAACTCATCAATTGTTCTCGCGTTGTAAAAGTCATCAACTATTTTTCGTCATATACTTCATAAATCCAAATACATTAACTGGATGTTCAAATTTAGTAGCATAAAAATTATATAAGAAGAATCCAAGGAATTAACAAAGAAAGGTCACCAATGCATAATGATGCCCTGATGACACGTGTTCCGTGCCCAGTGTAGGTATTCCACAAAACCATGTTGCTCTCTATTTGAACCACGTTCAACGTGGCTCAATTCATGCATGACTGGTAGAAGCATTACAGGGAATTCCTTGGAGCGTTTGTGTCCAACGAGGATCATCTCACATCTGGCGTGAGCAATCTCAAGAACAATCTTTGTTATTAGCCTAAATGATGCTTGACAAGCCCGTGGTGGCACTAAACATCATATTAAGATTCACACAACCTACAAAAATCACTAATTATGAACTATGCATAACAATTACCCAAATTTATGATTCAACTGGTAACAACATTTTAGAATAGACACTAATAAACAAGATGCAAATTACATACTAAACACATTCAATTAATATCCTCATACAATTACCGATTTATTCCCTATGGGTTATCACAGGAACCCACAAGACAATTCAAGATTCACAATTTCAAACCCAAACACAAAATTATAGGCATTAGCATTTACATAACAATTAGAACACAAAAGAGCAACAAAGAAGATAAAGACACATTTTTTGGAAAACCCTTCACATACAAATAAACAGTAGAGACAAAATTGGGGTCAAACTCACTATCCAGCATATATCTCATGTCCATAACAAGACTACTCACTCCCCATTTACCTTGATAAGAACTAGAAGACAGACGTGGATCTTTGGGATGTCCTCTTACGAGCTCCAATTTTAAAGCTCACAAGCATAAAGGAGAACAAAAGAGCGTAAAATTAAAACTGAAGAAAAAAAAAATTCTTTTTTTCAAAACTTAACCTCATCTTAACCCATCAATTAAAACAATTAACTCTAGTTACAAAACTCTTCTCTCACTTAATAAAATAAGAAAATATTTAAAAATAAAACTTTATAATATATTCATGTAAGTATAAAAATAATTAAAATAATTATCAAAACCAACCCAAATATTTATAATAAAATATAGGCTTAATTGTGTTTTTGATCCCTCAAGTATTGTAATTGTGCAATTTTGACCCCTAAAGTTTTAATTGAGTAACTTTAGTCCTTAAAAGATTACAGTTGTGCAATTTTAGTCCCTCAATTTTTAATTGAACAATTTTAGTCCCTAAAATATCATAATTATGCAATTTTAGTCTTTCTCATTAAAATTTTAATATATATATATATATATAATGTTTTAAAACTATATAATTGTTTGCTTATTTAAATTAATGTATATTATAATTTTTATTAATGTATCAAATGATATATATTTATTATTACTAAATAAATAAAATTTATATATTATTAATATTTTAATATTACTGATAAATTAATATGAATAATACTTTTACTATATTTATAAATAAACTAATAATTTTATAAATATAACTTAATATATATTAATATACTTTTAC